CCCCAAAACCCCAAAACCCCAAAACCCCAAAACCCCATTTTTAGATAAAATAATTGAATTCAAAAATTTAAATTATATAAACATGGAAAATCAGGTATATCAGAGTAGTGATAGATGCTTACAAGATTATTATAGGAGAAATATGATATAGATCATCAGGAAACCCAACTTTTGAATGAGCAATTTCAGAGTAAGCTACCTAATGCACATCTTCCTCTCATATAAATTATTCATAATTGCTTTAGAAATGCTTGAGGCTCAGTTAAACCCGAATTTTGGACGAATCAAATCAGATGAAAATTTCCCTGCCAATCTGCAATTTGTAAGCCATTTTCCTAAAAATGTCATGAAAATTTGATAATTTATCGAATATTTGAAAAATTTCATAATTTTTAATTAGCAAAGAAAAAGACTTGGTAAGCCTTGCACAGTTATGACTAGTCGATGGCATCATCAAGCTGTATACCAAGATATCAAGGGTTATCAAGGAAGATCTAGAGTCTAACAGGGGAGAAGAGTCAGCTCCAACGAAGAAGCACCACTCGAATCCTCTGGTGATTCATTCTGCCATAGCTTATTTGGATATTGTATTAAGTAATAAGAAGTTTATCCAGTTCCCAAAAAGTGACTATAAGTTAATATCCCTAGCTTGTCTCTCAATTTCAGCCAAGTTCAATGAATTAGATGACATCATTCCTCTCTGTGATGAATATATTAAATTTGCAAATCTTGACGCCAACAAGAGCTATGATGCTAAGGAAGAATTGAGGAACCATTTCATCAAAATTGAAGGCACTATCCTCAAAGATTTCCTGAATTGGGACCTCAACCTTATCACTCCTTACCATTTTGTCGAAATTTATTCCAAGATGGGAGCTATTACTTCAGAGGATACAATAAAAGACAAGGAGGTTACCAAAGAAGTGACCTCTAAAATTCAAAAAACTATAGAGTTCTTTTGTGACCTTAGTGCTGAATGCTTCCAAATGAAGACATACCCTCCCTCCATCATAGCTCTTTCGTGATTGATTTCAGCACGGAAGATCATGGGCATTTCTCCAGTCTGGAACGGTGAGTTTCAGAAACGCTTTAAGCACTCGTATAAAGAAATATCAGATGCTTCCAACTGCTTGCATGAATTCTATAAAAATGCTTATAAAAATATTAAATCAAAGAGCAAATTTAAACCTTTGAAGAAGGCTAGAAATAAAGCTAAGAAGACCGATTTAAAAATTATAAACTCCATTATTGCAAATACTTCGATGAACAAGAATCAGGAAAGGAAAGAAATTGACTTCAGCGCTGTAAATGTCAATCATTGGGAGTCTTTAAAGCCATCTAACCTACCACAGATAGGAGTGAATAGGAATGCTAATTTTGCCTCAAATGCATTAACAGCAAATGCTAAGGAACCAGGTCAGAAAAGTACTAGCAGTTTTCCTATAAAATTCTCTTCTACCTGAGATATGAATTTTGGCTTAAACAAGCCGAGCAAGCCAGATCGAAGCCTTGGAAATATGAACTTTAATTTCAACACTGATACATATAACTCTAACAAGGAGAATGTAGATATTATAAATTTTAAAACTTCAACGAATAGATTGAGAAACCATGTAAGCAGCATAGAGTCATCAAGTAAGCTCTCAATAATCCTTAGGAGAAAAATCTTTGAATGACAGTTCCAAAGGAGATGCAAGCATATTTAGCATGAAGAATTCAACAAACTATCATTCAAAGTTTCATAAATCTTACCACACTTTGAAGAATATGCCTCTGAAAGTTCCGAATATCAATGAATTCTCACAGAAGAGTTTGCAGCGGATCAAGTCTCGTATTCAAAGCCGCGAAAGCGCGGCTTTGAAGAGCACTAGTTTTGAACGCCCATGGCTCAGCAGGAGATCAATTGATGCTAAGAAAAAGAAGTTAAAATAGCATCAATATCTTCAAACAGTCCTTTGACAAGTCAAGAGAAAGCAGTCAGTATAACGATCAAAAGGCAAGATCTCAAATTGTAGAGTTCCATCTAATTTGTAGAAATAAAGTCAAAATGTTTCCAAAGCTAAAGAGTAATATTAGTAAAAAGAAGCTACAACAATTAAAAATCTCCAAAAATTGTAACATGCCAAGAGTTTTCAGAGACCCTATTAATTTCAAATCTGAGAGACGGTCAACTTGGGGAAAGAGTGAGAGGTTTGTAATTGGGTCATAGTTTAGAAAACAAAAGCAGCAGATTAAGAGACTCAGGAAAGGCTTTGAAAAAGTACTTATTTTCTAACATTTCAGTACAAATCCCAAAACTCCAGGTCTCAAAAAGTCCATACAAGCGGTATTTTCCCTCTCTTACCCCTAGAATCAACCCGTCCAAGGCCTCACAAACCCAAAACCATGCCTAAACTGGCCGACCTAACCCACCTTCACCCCCTTAAAAGTACTCCTCCGCTCATCTTTAGAGTCCATAACCCGCTTACCCAGTAAAAAATCTGCTAAAAGACCAAATTCCCGTTCATCCACCGAGAACCAGAACACACTAAACACCCAAAGTATCCCAAAACTCAAGTAAATCCCATACAAATCCATAGACGAAGAAAAAGCAAATCCAAGCCAAAGCCACCTATCAAGAGAAAAAACACGAAGAAAAGTACCTCAAAGGAAAAGTTTACGCCTAAAGTCACTAGAGGACTCATCAGAGCTTAATAAATTACTGTTTCAAGCCTGGCCAGTGCTACTGGGGTTTTGGGGTTTTGGGGTTTTGGGGTTTTGGGGTTTTGGGG